TGTTAAATCCTCTATCAGGAATTTAGGTGTCACCTTTGACTCGAGTCTCACATTGGATGGGCATGTGAAATCTCTGGTTCGGTCTTGTTTTTATCATTTAAGAAATGTGGCTATGCTAAGCCCGGTTTTATCTCGCTCTGAACTTGAGATTGCTATGCGTGCATTTATTTCGTCACACTTGGATTATTGTAATTCGCTGTTTATGTGTCTAAGCAAAGGTTCTCTGGATCGTCTGCAGGTTGTGCAAAACGCTGCAGCTAGGCTTTTGACAAAATCCTCCAAGTACTGACATGTGACACCGTTATTATCTCAGTTACACTGGCTTCCTGTTAAACTTAGAGTTGATTTTAAGATCCTGGTCTTGACCTACAGAGCTGTGCACGGACTGGCACCAGCCTACATCTTTGATCTGCTACGGCCCGATGTCCCAGCAGGTCTTTGAGGTCATCTGATCAGGGCTTACTTGCTATAAAAAATACAAAGAGGAGTACTGAGGGTGACAGAGCTTTTGCCACTGTGGCCCCGAGACTGTGAAACTCTCTCACCCAAACATTAAGAACTGTGGACTCAATGGCTGTTTTTAAAAAAACAACTCAACACTCACCTTTTTAAAACTGCTTTTGGTTCATTTTATGCCTGTTTTATTTTCTCTTTTTAAATCTTTTTATGGCTTGTAATCTTATGTGCAGCACTTTGTGATTCTGTCTTGAAAGGTGCTATATAAATAAAAATTTATTTATTTATTTATTTAAATCATCACAAAACCTCAACCCTTCACCATCAGCTGCTCTTTGTTATGCAGTATGGCCCTCGAAGAACAGCAGCTATCTAAGTGAAGCCTCGACTGTTTTGTTCTGAAGTTATGCTCTTTAAATATTTTGCAAAGACTTTCAGGTGAAGAATTTTGCCAACAAGTGGATTCTTTCATTGATTAACTTCACTTTTACAACTTAAACCTGATTGTCAGTGCGGTGCTCTCTGTTAAGGTGGCAGAGCAGATATTCCCTCCATCCTCTTTCATGTGATTGATGATTTTCTTTGGCATAAAAAAAGCCAAGACCTCAAAGCCAAAAGCTAAAAATGAAATACTCTGACAGGGTTTGCAGCAAAGGTTGAAATTATTAAATTATTTCTATACTGTGCAGGAGAGTGAAATATTTCTGCTTCATTCTCTTACCAAACGTTTCAAAACATGTGGTTCGGCTCATAAACTCAATGAGCGCATTAGTAAGTCAGGTGTGTCCTGCTCCTTATCCTCTCCCTGCACATTATTTTCCTTTCTGTGCCTCCTTATAACTTGTGCATAAATAATGAAACAGCCCGTTCACTCATGCAAACAGCGCCGACTGTAACGGATCACCTCCACGAGGCCAGCCGTGCTTTATGCGTCAGTGGTCACAAGGGGGCACTAAAC